GTAGAAACATTACAAGTTTTGAGAAGAAAGACATGTAATCTTGCTTTCAAAATGAAAATGTAAGCAAATGTACTAAACGTTTTTAGACCCAAAGACATGTAATCCTGCTTTTAGACTGAAAATGTGTGCTCTCAAATTATGGCAGAAAACTTGCCCCATATCTGCTGAGCTCTGTGTGTTTGGACAAAACCGAAAGTAATGAATGACTGAAAAAGAAGAAAGAAGATGTTCTTTTTATGTGACTGAAAGAAAAATAAATATGTAAGCAGAAGATGACTGTGAAAATGTCAGTGTGAGCATTATATTTTCTAAGAACATTAAACTGATACATCTTTGGTATTAATGTTTCATCGGTTCTGCTTTAAATTTCCTACCAGACTCTGAAGCTGCTGCAGAGTTTATCAGAGGTTTTATGATGCATTTTACTCTGGTCTTCACTCTCAGTCGTTCCTCAAAGACGGAATCACTAAGGAAATCTTCCACAAGAGCAATATCATATCTCCAAAATGTTAATCACTAGGAAACATAAAAATGAGTTAAAGCTGAATAGGAGAGAAAGGTTGAGGGCACTTAAGGTTTTTAAACCTGTTATTTTTATAAAACGTTGCCCTCCTTCATGTTTCAGCAAGAGGACAGATGAAATCATTAACATTTCCATTCAAGGATTCAATGCCTGGTGGTTCCAAACAAGGTGGAGTAAGAAGCCCCTCTCCATTTCCTCCCAGAGGTGATCGAGGATGAGGTTAAGTTATCTCTACTTCTGGAGAGACTTGAATGTGACCATCCACTGAAGATCCATTTGCTCCCAGAGGAAGTCAAGGATTTCCTACCTGAACAGTTCTTGTTAATCCCAGAAATAATCTATTAGGACCTAAATCTCCCTGATCACTGATGGGGTCGGTAACAACCAGCCTGTGAGACGCTTTGCTTTCAGTGGGTTTGTGTGGAAATTCCTTGTTCTCCTGGAAGGAGCTGAGGATGACCTTCCTCTGAAACTCCCAGGTCTCCCAGAGTGTCAAGAACAACCTGTTGCTGCAACAGTCTTTGCATTTAGAGGAAATTGAGGATGACAAACCTCTTCCAGTTGTTGCTCCTGAATTCTTTGACTGGGTTGAGGCTAACAAGCCTTAGCCATTTGCTAACTATTTGTCCTCAAACTTTTGGCCCTGCTGCATCTCTGTATCCTGCAACATGTTGGGTTCCACCATAATCGCCCTTGATTGATCCTGTAGTATCCTTCACGGTACCCTGTGTCAAGATCCGTGTTTTTGTGTGTTTATATTTGAGTTTTCTGTGTTCAGTCCCGTTTCCCTGTGAGTCTCTGTCCTGTCCTCCCCGTTGATTGCTCCCCAGGTGTGTCTCATTCCCTTAATTACCCCGTGTGTATTTATAACCACCTGTTGTCTGTGTTCTTCGTCGGGTCCTTGTCTATGTCGTAGTTCGTCACGCCAGTTGAACTGTTAAGTCCTGGTTGTGTTTGTCTATTGTCGTTTGTCTACTCGCCAGTTGTACTGATAAGTCCTGGTTAGTGCTAGCTCCCGTATAGTCCTGTGAGTCAGTTGCTACCGGCTATTAGCTGCGTGCTTGTTCCTGCCGTGCTGCCTGCCTTGGACTGTGTGCTTTATTTTCATCATTAAACATCATCATCACCATACCTGGGTCTCGGCGTCTCTCCTCCCCACCACCAACCACACACTTCATGACACCCTGTGTCTTAATACATTTGTTTCTGTACTGTCCGGCTTTCCACCTGTTTCTGTTTCATGGATTTTTTTCAGAAGACCCTTCAGAGGAGGCAATCTGTCATCAGTTGGAACAGTTTGGGTTTTATTTAACACTTTGGTTTTAATATTGTATTGCACTGGGATTATGTGAGTCTGATTCCTTTGTGTGTTTCGTTGTGTTTTAATAATGTCTAATTCTTGTGTTATTTTGTTCAACCATTTTCTCCTGGTGGTTGAACTGATCCTCTGTGGATCAGTTCTGACTTTCTCACGTCTGCAGTTCATTTCTAACCACTCAGCTGTTTTCTTGAGGCAATCCCCAGTTCTTTCTTTGTGGCTGCAGACACTCTTTGACAGACTGTTGTGTTGTTTGTCAGTCCTCCATGGTTACCTTGTTGTCTCAGTTGAGTTTTCATTACTTGTTCCAATTTTTACCTTTTTGGGGGTTTTGAGTATGAAACCGCTGAATATTTTTATCACATTTACCCTTTTGAGATCTGTAAAATAAGCAACACCTGCAATGAACTGAAATCAAATAAACACTTTTTTCCCAATATAGAGGTTTATGGTTGAAGGAAATACAGATAGAAAATCAGTTTTTCCCTTAAGCTATTTGTCTTTTCACACTGTAAGTCTGGCATTCCCCCTTCTTCTTCCTGCTTTCATGCAGTTCCAGTCATTCCACATTCATCCTCTTCCTAGCAGTGACAGCTGGGGTAGCAAATACGTAGGTGACAAACCTGACAGATGACATTCTTTCTTAAAACAATAGCTTAGAATATATTCTCACAAAGTGAAACTCACAGTCAGTTTGACTGGAGAAATGGCGCAATGTCTTTTGGACCAGGAGACTTTCTCCTGTTCGATCTGCCTGGATCTACTGAGTAATCCAGTGACTACTTCCTGTGGACACAGCTACTGTTTCACCTGCATTAAGATTCACTGGGATGAAGAGGATCAGAAAGGAATCCACAGCTGTCCTCAGTGCAGAAGGACTTTTAAACCAAGACCCGACCTGTGTAAAAATACCATCCTAGCAGCTTTAGTGGAGCGGCTGAAGAAGACTGGACCCCAAGCTGCTCCTGCTGATCACCGTTATACTGGACATGAAGACGTGGCCTGTGATTTCTGCACTGGAAAAAAATTGAAAGCCATCAAGTCCTGTTTAGTCTGTCTGGCCTCTTACTGTGAGAAACACCTACAGGCTCATTTTGATGAGCCTCAATTAAGGAATCACAGGTTGGTGGAGCCGTCCAAGAACCTCAAGGAGAACATCTGCTCTCGTTACGACACAGTATCAGCTGCAGCAGAAAGGACTGAGAGGCAGAGAGAGCTGGAGGAGAGACGAGGAAACATCCAGCAGAGAATCCAGGACAGAGAGAAAGATGTGAAGCTGCTTCAACAGGAGGTGGAGGCCATCAATCACTCTGCTGATAAAACAGTGGAGGACAGTGAGAAGATCTTCACTGAGCTGATCCGTCTCCTCCAGAAAAGAAGCTCTGATGTGAAGCAGCAGATCAGATCCCAGCAGGAAACTGAAGTGAGTCGAGTCAAAGATGTTCAGGAGAAGCTGGAGCAGGAGATCACTGAGCTGAAGAGGAAAGACGCTGAGCTGGAGCAGCTCTCACACACAGAGGATCACAACCAGTTTCTCCTCAACTACCCCTCACTGCCAGCACTCAGTGAGTCGACACACTCATCCAGCATCAACATCCGTCCTCTGAGACACTTTGAGGACGTGACAGCAGCTGTGTCAGAGCTCAGAGAGAAACTACAGGACGTCCTGAGAGACTCATGGACAAACATCTCACTGATGGTCACTGGGGTGGATGTTTCACCATCAGAACCAGAGCCAAAGACCAGAGCTGGATTCTTAAAATATTCATATGAAATCACTCTGGATCCAAACACGGCTAATAACTATCTGTTACTATCAGAGGGAAATAGAAAGGCAACCGTGATGGATCAACCTCAGTCTTATTCCAGTCACCCAGACAGATTCACTGATTACTGTCAGGTTCTGAGTAGAGAGAGTCTGACTGGACGTTGTTACTGGGAGGTGGAGTGCAGAGGGAGAGTTTATGTATCAGTGGCATACAAAAATATCATCAGAGAAGAAGATGACAGTATATTTGGAAGTAATGATAAATCTTGGGCATTAGACTTTCAACAGAACAAGTATATATTCTGGCATAACAACATCTCAACCTCCATCTCAGGTCCAGTTTCCTCCAGAGTCGGAGTGTACCTGGACCATGAAGCAGGTATTCTGTCCTTCTACAGCGTCTCTGAATCCATGACTCTGATCCACAGAGTCCAGACCAGATTCACTGAGCCGCTTCACGCTGCAGTTTGCATTGGTTCTGAAACTGGGTACTCTGCAGAGTTCTGTAGACTTAAGTAAACAAAATTAGGCTATAGTATTTATTTTCTTTTGTTTTGTTTTGTTTTATTTTTGCAAGCTTTTTCTTAAAACCATTAATTTGTGTCCTAAAAAAATCATCTTCAAAAATTGTCACCACTTTCTTTTCACCAGTTTTGTTGCTTTTAATAGCAAAACTTTCAAATAAAATGTGAAACAATTCCTGAGTTTGTTAAAGTGAAGCCATTTTGTTTTTTGTCATGTTCTTCTTTGTGTTATGAGACAACAGATGTCGTCGTCTCTTTGTGAACTTCAGCTCATTTAATGTCTTGTTGATTTTTATGTTGATTTGCTGTTCAGTTCTGTTAAGGATGATTGTAAAGTTTGAATCCAAATATATTTTAATGTTATTTCTCATTATATTTGTTCTTATTTGTTCTGATCTGTCTGAATGATTCTCTATAGAGATGGTTACACTGCCACCTACTGGAAGATTGTGTTGTTACATCTTTATGCACTTTATGAATGAGTTAAATCACATTGTTCATATGTAGTTTTTAATAGTTTGTGCTGAATAATAAAAAATATATTTTTTCATGTACTTTTACTGTTTCCACATTTTCTACTCATCTCTATTTTCTAAAATATAATTTTCTTCAGTAAACCATCACTTAGATTTTAAACCAAACTTTTACGTTCCAGGTCTTTACAAACATACACCTAAACAGAACATGGATTTTATTGTCACTTTTTAAACAAAGACACAAGACAAATAATCCTGACCTTGAGGGGAAATCAGATTTAAGGAAGTCGGGTTTTATTCAATTAATTTCAGTAAAAAAAAATAAACTACAGAATTTTTAGCTAAAACGACACTCAGCATCAACATTTCTCAGCACAGAGGAGGAAGTGAAGAAGCGGAACGGTTGGATGTTTGAGCTACTTTTACAATGGGAGCCGATA